GGCCATAGTGGGTTATAAAATGTCCTTGACACCATGTACTAATGTTCAGAGATGAGATCCTAATAGCCATTAGTATCATCTACTAACAACCCCATGGCGTTCTCCGAGGCACAGCATGGCCAGCATTCGGCCACTTTTGGGATGTTTTCTGAGGTGGTAGAGAATTGGATGCAGTTCTGAAGAGGATGGTTGAAAAAAGATGGGATGCTTACATGTTATAAGAGCAATACCTTCTGCTAGATAATGAAGGATCTCTCATCTGCAAAGGAGAAATTATTGGAAATGGTGCTTTTGTTTATGGGGACAGTCCTTTGTTCCATTTTCAAGGTGGCTACCAATTATTCATCAGTTACAGCACGTCCTCGAAATATGCCAACTTCATTCAACATTGTTCATAATGTTGATGAGCTGCCATATGCCATAGGGACTTAATTCTTGTTTATATCAATTAGCCAACGGTTAAATTGGTTTCATTATCCATTTTGCTTAAAGTCACAGAATCTATCAACGAGGACATTAAGTGGGAACTTACTGTATTTCAGAGGTGATTAGCCAAAGGTGAAAGAGGAAGAAGAGGAGAAGGAAGAAAGGAGGAGGAGAAGGAAGGGGAGAGAGAGGAGGAGGGGGAGGGGGGAAATACAATTGACTTAAAAAAAAAAAAAAAACATCAATAGACTTCTAGTGATGAAAAATTTAAGAATGTTCTCACATTCTCAAGCGCTTCAGTTCTAGTAACATCTCCAAACTGTCCATGGAACAGCACCGAATTGGGAGGCATTCAAGTGCACTATCTGAGCAGGCCCCCCCTCACCTCCCAGGATGCTCCTGAAAACAGGAATCTGCTCTGCCTCCCAGTTCATCTCCTCCTTTCCGCCCTTGTGAGCAAGAGAGTATGAAATGCCGATATTTCAGGACCAAAGACTTTATTTTCAACTTGAAATAGCAGACTGTGTGTGCATGTGTGCGTGTGTGTGCATGTGTGTGTGTGTGTGTGTGTGAAAAGAAACAGGTAATGCTCGCTGATCTCTTCCCATTGCAAGTATGGGGGTGTGAGATGGGGACAGTGCAGGGAGCCTCTGATGAGCTAGCCCCTCAAGGAGCAGCAAGCTTCTCCATAACACTGCAACCAGCATCCTCCCTTCCTCTTAAATACAGCTGTGAGACGCTGTCACTGTGCATCCATATCCACATGGTGAATAAAAGACGCCGAAGGACAAATGGCCCTGCCCTACTTGGAAAAGACAGCAAGTCGCATCAGGTCGCTCCTCGTAGCGTTCTTTCCTGTTTCCACGGTTCTGAGAGGCAGCTCCCAAAATGGAGACAAAATCCAGTCCTTGCCTCTTGCAGGCTTGCTCAGTGCTCTTCTTCAGGGTCTGGATGAGGAAGGTCTCCAGCCAACCCTGCAGGACCCACTTTGAAGGGGCAGGGCGAAGCCACTCCCCAGAGGCCTTTATTTTAAGCTCAGACGCCACAGTTCTGCATTGTCGCCCTAACAAGCTGTCACTGTCATGCCTGCTTATTAACCCACATACCGGGTCCTGCCAAGACTCTCAGAGAGGGTGGGCAGACACCTCCGGAGGCTAGTCCTGAGGTCTCCCCCAATCAGAGGCACTGTTTACTGAGCACTTGCTCTTCTCTACCAGACACAGTACTACATATACATCTTCATTAATCTTCCCAGCATTAAAGATAGATATTAATCCCATTGAACAGATTGGGAAGCTGGGACTTTAAAGTCATATAATTTTCCCAGGTCATGCTCCTGGTAAGGATCTTGGGAACTGTCCATCCTAAATCCATGGCTGTAACTACTGCTGTGTGTCAGAGGAGCGGCACCGGGGCCAGAGGCGGCTGGCCCTGCAGCCAGAGCCCTGCCATAGGCACTGTGCCACCTCAGTGCTATTAACCGCGCCAGGCCTGTCACACCCTCCCAGGTGGGACAGTGGCTTCTCCCGCCCTTCTCTCAGGGGGAGGACAATGACTGCACCTGTTGCTGCGCTCCACAAGTTCACGTCCCTTGCAGACTTCCTCACCCACCTGTTCAAGGTTGGGAATGAGAGAGGCGGGCAGAGTCCCCGGAGAAGGAAGCCTGAAACTAACTTTAGAAGTTACATGTCCTCTTTTCAAAATTCAAATTTGCCTTTGTGTGACTGTATGGGGAGGTATGGGGTGTAATGTTTGGAAACGAATTCTACTGATGTTAAAGTTATCCAGACACAAAGTTAATCAAAGTAGGCAAAGCCACATTGTATGTGCTCGATCAGTAACTAAAGAAAGGACAGAGGAATCGGGCATGAGCAGATAAACTAGCATTCTGTGTGGGTCGCTTTGATTTTAGCCTGTTTGTATTTCATTACCTCTGCATGTAGCTAATTGGTTCTCTGAGTCTCTATCAAATTAATTTAGCCACAGTTATTTTCACTCTACAAGTAGCAATGACAAAGAACTTAAACGCAATACAAACATTATTTGCCAAACCATAATAGTCTATAGTCTGAACAGCCCTATGTTTTTTCTCAACTGAGGCAGCCTGATAGGATGGGTCTACCTTCTTGAAATTTCAAATTGCCTAATTAAGCAACACTCATGGAGACCACACACACACACACACACACACACACACACACACGGAGCTGATATAAAAACGAAGCTGCCAGCAGCAGCTAATAAACCCAGGGCACGTGCTGATTCCTACAGCCGTCCGTCAGCACAGCGCTGACGCGGGAAAGAACTGTGACAGCCTGCTAATGAGCACTTTTGGGAACTCTTGGAAGAGGAAGAGAAAATGAGTTTATAATGCTTTAGTTCAGCTAAACGTTTGAGTGGAAAAAATAAAAGGTGGTAACTAATAACTGGGGCGGGGGGCTGACCATACAGTGGGGGTCTGGGTGACAGCAAAGGAAATGCTCATCATTCTGCAGGAAAGACACTTGTGGCTGATACTCCGTAGCACAATCACAAATCAGCCCCTTTTCTCCACTCTTAAAACTGCTAAAAAGAGCAGAAATGCCAAAATAGATCCCTTCAAAACCTTTCTTTTAATATATCATTGTTCAGATTTCAGGGAGGAAAGGAGAGGGAGGGAGAGAGAGAGATAAACATCAATGATGAGAGAGAATCACTGATCAGCTGCCTCCTGGATGCCCCCTCCTGGGGATGGAGCCTGCAACCAGGCCATGTGCCCTGACCTGGAATCTGACCATGACCTCCTGATTCACAGGCCAATGCTCAACCACTGAACCATGGCAGCTGGGCCCTTCAAAACTTTAACAGTAGGAACATGGTGAATACACTCCATCTAACTGACCACCAGTAATGAAAACCACCATTAATTAGAATTTCTGTGCAACCACATGGCATCATCATTCCGGCACCTGAATTTAAGTCTCAGAATGCAGACTCACCGGGCACCTCGCGCCCCCTCCTCAGCTCCCGGGTCTGTAAGGACCAGGGTGGCTGCGGATGAGGCAGCAGCAGAAGGGACAGAGCATTCTCCTGACACTCCTAATGCCCAGCACAACCACTCCCTCCTGTCCCCACGTCCTCTGACAGACTCAACCAACTAGTCTCAACTGTGCACAAGTTACCCTGCTGGAGAGACCCGGGTATTTTAGTCAAAATGGAGGGTCTGTGTGTGAAAAGGCCCGGGGGGAGGGGAGTAGCTTAGACTGAGCTCTCTCTCCCCACCTGTTCTAACTCAATCCTGCTAAAACCGCTCACCATAGTCAGATACAGCGTGTTCCCCACGGGGTCAGAGCGCCTTCAGTATGACATGGTGCACCGCTGAGAGAGCTGATTGAGACCGCATTTATAACATCAAACTCCAGGCACCAAATCAGAGCCTATTAACACTCCTCAGAAATAAAAGTAAAGAAACACAGAGTTTTAATTAACTCTGTGCAGCAGAAGGCGGTGAACGGGTAAGGAGCCCCATAGCAATCAGGATGTGGGAGGCACAGAAGACTCCGGGGAGCAGACTGCCTTTTAATCCGGGGGGAGGATTAAAGTGGACTACAACTTCCATTGGGCATAAGATCCAGGATTATGTAAGAAGCTCACTGCACATGTTGGACCACAGAAGAGCAGCTGAACTGACTCTGGAATGTGGGTAAACTGCTTTCCCTAACACCATCAATGAAAGCGAAGATCCTTCAGTAGGTGGACAGTTGCTACTGGCCACTGTGATTTTCTAAAGACAGCAGAGACTTGCATGCACTTTTGTTCCGGATAAAAGCGCTCAAGTCCCCAAGGACAACTCCCGGGATGAGAAAGTTCCCCATCAGGTCTAAAGCCTCCAGCCCCTGCTCCCGGGTTCGGGAGGGGAAGGCCAGGCGTGTGTGTGGGGGACACTTTTCTGTTGAACCTTTTCTTTAAAAAAGCAGACCTTTTCCAAACATCGCGGCGAGTCAGAATTTGTTGTGCAAGAGTGAGCATCTAAGCAGAACGAAACATGACGGTACCATCCTCGGTGGCCTGCACCTGACACCCAGAATACCCGGGACTCCTCATCATTCCGCCTAGGTCCCTGCAAGACGCAGGCAGCCGGGCTTCACAGGTGCCCCACGGTCTGCGCGCAGGAGAGGAAGCCGCTTCTGTGTCCGGGACTCCCGCCGCTCCTCACCCCGCCCTCGGGGCACATACACCTGGGCCGGTCCGCTCGTCTCCAAACTCCGCGGAGACAGCGCCGTGCAGCGGCCACCTGCGCAGAGCACCCCGCCCGGGAGCGCCAGGCTGGGCGCCTTCCCAGCGCCCCCGCCCGCCCCTGCCCCGGGCCGGCCCCCGGCTCTGTCCTGGGACCCAGAGCTGACACCTCCGGCGGAGCCCGCGGGAGCGGCTGGCATTACATAACCACATCCCGACGGCAGGCTCCGGGGAGCGAAAGCAGCCCGCGGGCGGGCGGGCGGGGCGGGGAGCGGGGAGCGGGGAGCCGGGAGCCGGGAGCGGGGAGCGGGGAGCGGGGATCGGGGGCCGGGAGCCGGGAGCCGGGCGCCGCCACTTACTCGAAGGCGAAGAAGAGCCCGCTGGTGACCAGGATGAGCACGAGCGTCAGGTAGAAGACGCCCCGCTGCTGGGCCATCATGATGCGGCCGTCGCAGAAGAACTGGTTCCTCCCCGGGAAGACCTCCCATTTCCTGCGCGCCGGGACCCGCTTCTTCTCGGCGGGGGGCGCCTCCATGGGGGAGGGGCTGTGGGTGCCGATCTGGCTGTACTCGCAGTCTCCCATGGGCCCGCCGCCGCCGCCCGGGGACATCCACGCGCGCAGCCGGCGCGGGGCGCACGCCCCCCGGAGCCCCCGGCCTCGCGGGCCCCGCCGCGCCACGGCCGCCCCTCTAGGCGGGGGCCGCGCCGGCCGGCAACTTCGCGGGGGGCGCCCGGGCCGAGCCCGCGGGGCGCCCAGCGCGCATCGCCGGCGCCCCCGCCCGGGGGGACGCCGCTCGCCCGCAGCCCGCGGCGGCGCTCGGGCGCTTCCAGCCCGCGGGCCGGGGCGCCGGGCCCCCGCGGGGCGCGTGGAGCCGCCCGGCCGCCCCCGCGCCCGCCGCCCCCGGCCCGGGCCCCGCGCGCTGCGGGCGGGGAGAGCACGAGGCGGCGGCCGCGGAGCCGGCTGCTCGGAGCCCCGCGCGCGGCTCGGCCCGGGCTAGTCCGCTCCCTCCTCGCGGCGGCGGGTCCTCCCCGGAGAGATGGCACCTGGGAGGCCCTCCGGCACCGGCAACCCCTCCCAGGGGTGGGGACGCGGGCGGGTTCGGTGCGGAGCGGCGGGCGCGGTCGGGCTCCCGCGGTCCCGCAGGAGGCGGCGCGGGGCGGGCGCGGGGGCGGAGGGCGCCGCCGGCCGCGGGGCGAGCGAGCGCCACGGACACTTGTTTGCGAGGCTCGGCCGCGGCGCTCGGAGCGTCCGCCTCCTGCCGCGGTGGGCGGCGGCCGCGCTGCGCCCGGCTCCTCCTTCCGCTCCTCCTCTCTCTGCGGAGCCCGCTCCGCCGGGGCCGGGCCGGGCCGGGGACAGGGACCGGCTCCCCGGCATCGCCGTGGTCACGGCCCGCCGCGGGGTGCGCTCCCGCCGGCCCCGGTCCGCCCGGCCCCGGGCTCCCGGCCGCGGACACACCCCCATCTAGCGGCTCTGGGCCCGCGCGGAGCGGGGTCCCTCCCGGCCGCCGGGCACTGCCTCCTCCCGGGGGCGCGGGGGCTGCGGGCGGCTTTAATGCTGGGGGGGTGGGGAAGGGGGTGACGGGACACCGGACCCGGGAGGAGCTGCGGGCCGGCTCTCGGGCCAGGGTCCCGGGGCCCCGGGGAGGGAGGACCGCGGACGGCGCGGGCGGCTTCCGGGCCGGCCCCGCCTCCCGCCCGGACCCGCGCGGCAGGCTGTGCGGGGGCTGCTGCCCGGCCTTTCCCTTCCCGCTCCCCAGCCGGCGCTCATCGGCTCGCTTTATTGCTCTGCTGCCCGCACGCCCCGCGGCCGCGGGGGCCTCCGCCCGCCGCCCGCCGCCCCGCGGTCCCCGCCCGGCGCTGCCGCGGACTCCGCGCCCTCCGCGGCTGGCACTGCCCGTGGGAAGCGGAAAGCGGGGCAGCGGCGCACACGCTCGGTTTTCCGAGCCCCGCTGTCCCCTCCGGGCCCGCTGGGAGGTGTAGTTCTTCCTCTCGCCGGCCGGCTCCGAGAGGAAAACCGACTTGGGAATGGAGGACTACAAATCCCAGCATCCCCCGCGACGAGGGCGGCAGCGGCAGGGTGCTGGCATTTCTGGTGCTTGGCGGTCGGAGGTGGGAGCTAACAAAGAGCGCTGGGGACGCCGTGCCCCCTCCGTGCCAGCTCTGTGCCCGCTATGTGTGCAGTCTGTGCTTCGCCCTGCGAGGCACTGCTGTCTCCAGCTTCCAGGTGCTCCACTGCTTGCCAGCGATCACAAAGCGCTCCTGTGGTGGAGATGGGATACCCCAAACCCCGAGAAATTCCCTCACAAAGCGCTGCCTCCTCTGGGAGCTGTGTCAAAGGGAGAAGAGATCCGTTTAACCAAAAGAGGAGAAGATCAGGGCCAGTTGGGGAGAGCTTCCTCTAGTAAGGAAAACGTAGTGGGGGTGGCGAAGTTATAAAGGTTTAAGAATTTTAAAAAATGGAATTTACAAGCATCTATCCCAAAGCAGGTTAGGGGACTGAGTAGGCTCTTATATAATCAGAATAGAGTTCCAGTGGTTTTAGATAGTGCATGACGGAGAAACACATTTTGGGGACAATTAAGTTCTTTTTTGCTACGCTATTAACAACAACAACTGGCAAGCCTGGCATTTCAAGTGAAAGCTGTCATATGCTTTTCTGCCCTTTAGCTCATGGGATCAACAGGATGCTGTTCTCCTTCGAACTGTTCCAATCAAGATCCATGGCGTGATGGCTTTAAAATAAAGATCCTCATTCTTGTTGCCAATCAAGACCTAATTTTTCTGGCATTGTGGTTATGTTTTTTAAAAGTTATACATACTAAAGAATTTGCATGTGCCTTAAAATACTCCAGCCTACCCATTCCCCCCAAAACATGACAGTATAGATGAAACAATATTGGCAAACTGTGGAAAATTGTCAATTTATTGTAGTTACCTATTGCAGCAAATTATCACAAATTTAGCAGCCTAAAACAACAGATTTATTACCTCAGTTTCCATGGCTCAGGTGTCCAGGCACCGGGGTCCTCTGTTCAGGGTCTCTCACTTGGCAGCACGGTGTTGGCCTTGGTGCATCCTCATCTGGAGCTCACCTGGAAACCATCAGTTTCCACACGCAGGTCACTGGCAGCATTCACCTCCTTGCACCTGTAGGACCGAGGACCTGGCCTGTTGCTGTCTGTCAGCCGGCGTTGGAGCCCATTCTCACTGGGGGCTTCCCCAGCATGGCCACTTGGTTTCAACGAGCCAACAGGGAGAGCCCCCAGAGTGAGTCTGCTAGCAAGATGCAATCTTACATAACAGGACTAATCACACAGAGGCGACATCAAATGTGCCACATTCTGTGGGTGAGAAAGCCAATCACAGGTTTCCACACACTCCAGGGAGGGGACTGTGTACACAAGGGAATGGACATGAGGATGGGGGGCCACTCTAGGGTGTGTCCACCGCAGCGTACAAGCAAGTCCCATAGGCTATGCTACACCACATCTACTTATGTGTGTTTGGAATTTTCCTTAATAAAAAGAATTATTCTCTTTAATTATATCTGCATTTGCCATTGCAAGGAAGTTTCTAGATAAACTGATAGAATTGTTTGCAGTTATCTTTCTAGGAGTTCCTGTTTCTTCCCGCTCCATGTTTACTCAGCTATGGCAGGAAAGTCATGTAGGGCATACCGAAAGAGGTCTGATGGAACCTGGCATGATGACCACAGATTTGAGCTTGCCACCTAAAAGCTACTCTGTAAGGCATGAGAGAGTTCGCTCATTCATTCATTCGTTCATGCCACATTCATTTAGGGGCCTCGTTGGTGCTAATACTACTTTAGCAGCAGGGATATGGAAGGATCCAAGATGGTGGAGGAAGAGGTAAGGAGCCAAAACAATGAATGCAAATGAAATGCAAACAATGAAGTCAAATAAGTGATAAGACAATTTCAGAGAGCAGTTACAAAAATTAAAAAAGGGTTGTGGGATAGACAGGATGAACAAGAGACCTCCCTGGAGGAGGCATTGGGCAGAGAATCAAATGATGAGAAACAGCAAGTGCAAACAAAGGCTTGAGGCAGACCAAGCCAGGAAGGGCCAGGAGTACAGAGAAAAGCTGGCTGGAATGGAGTCAGAGAGGGAAAGTGGTAAGAGGCAGGGCTGGGAGGTGTGTGGAATTAGCCCCTCAATCCAGGACCACCATTGTGTTAAGTGTTGGGTGGTCAGAAAGAATAACAACATACAGTATGTGCCCTCAATGAAAAGATAGCATTCAAACTTTAATGCTAGGAGGACCTCAGTGCATCTAGAAATAGTTGCCCAAACACTTGTTCTGCCTCTGAGGAAGTGGAGGCCCTGAACAGAAGTGACCTGCTACAAATTCTTTGAGAATTCTTCACAATAAGAAACAATCTGTAAATGAATTTGGATTGATATAAAACTTCAGAAAACTCAGGAAGAATGCTTAGTGCCTGCCATGGCAAGGCAGTGTGAGAAGTTAAATGTGGCAGAGAAGCTACGGTCCAGGCGAAACAGCATGGAGACGCATGAGAAAGTGAATCAGGAAAGAGAATAATGGACTGCAGATAACTATTTTCTGGAGTATCTTCTAGTGTTTGCCAATATCCTATCTTGGCTCTTTATAAAAGGGTGTCCCAAAAAATGTATACACACTTTGGATAATTATAAAGGCAGTGTTCATTAAGATACATTTCATTTTCAAAATGTAATAAAACCTACATGTGTGCATACATGAGGGTGGGGAGGTGGGGAGAGACACCCTGTTTTTAGTTCATTAAATCCAGAGAACAACCCAACCAGGCAAGGAGGAAACTGAAGGTCAGAGAAGTTGGGTGATTTGCTCAAGGAATCACCGCTAGGAAGTATCCAACCCAGGACTCAGGGCCCAGTATCCATGTCTGGTTCCCACGTTTCCTATCCAGCCCACTCCACAGTGGAGAGAGTGCACCGTGTCTGACTACCTGCCAGATGAGCAGGGAAGAGTACCTTCCTTTCAGAGGAAGGAGAAATCTCTGAGGCCTAGACTGGAACAAAGGGGGATACCCGGACGGGGACGACTCCGATAGGCCGAGCTAGAGGGCTGAGGACCTCAGGGAAATGGCAATGGTGCAAAATCACATGATGTCTAGATGGAGTAGACTGGACTTGGGAGGGGATTCCAGAAAAAACTCCCAAGATGTTCTGGAAGCAAGATAGGGAGGAGAAGGAACCCAGGAATCTCAGATGAGCAAGTTGCACTGCGGGCAGCCAAAGCTCAGCCCCTCCAGGGCCTGGGAAGTGGCACAGAGCCTGCCTCAAGGTCACCCCCCCTGAGGAGCAAGGAAGCTGGACTTTACCCTCCAACCTGCCTGTGATTAGAGCTCCTTCCGGGGGCCTTAACTCTTTCCCTTCTTCACAAGACCACCCTCCGAAAGCTACCAGAGCAGCACCGACGGCCCTCCCTCGACAATAAGCGGGGTCTTTGGCTCCGGAGGGTCTTTGCCTGTTGTCAGCTGACTCGGGGGCCACTGACAGCAGGGGTTATGTTATCCACAAAATTAGAGCTTTGTCCTTTCATCTGAGCAGCTCAAAGCAT